TCGCATGTTTGATTACTTTCATCTTCTTTGATCTCATTGCTACATACACAACATTCATTAGGCTCTGAAGTGATCACTGATGCGCAAGCAGACAGTATATCTATAATTTCATTAACTACTTTCTTGAATTCAATTGTATCCATCATTAAAAAAAAACAAATCTTACAAATTTCCACTATATTTTAAAGGCACACAAATTACACTTTTTAAAAATTATTTCCAATACTGATTTTCTTTTTGTTTGAAATGTATTTATTCCTAACTATTCTAAGATTCCAATTATTATTACAGTTTTGAAATGTAATTTAAAATCAAGAATGCTAGAGTTGGCACTAAAATGCTTTTGTCTCAAGATAGCACACTTCACACAAAATGTTTGTACTGCCTTGTACTGAACAAATATACACTCAATCAAGTGTCTGCTGTATACTTACTTCTGCAAATGATTTCTTTGTGGTAATTCTTTCTGTGTCCCTTTCTTCCTTTAGCCTTCTTTCTATAGAAAGATTTAGGCTTATGCTTTATGTTTGCTTTTGTAAATAATTATTGTGTAGCAATTCGTTGAATGTGGCAATTGTTTCTTTGCAAAATATTGCCCTTTATATTTACACTCAATAAAATAATACAGACAGAATCAAGCCTCTGCTCTATACTTACTTTGCAAATAATTTCTTTCTAGTAATTATCTGTTCCTTCCTTCCTTTAGCCTTCTGTCTATAGAAAGAATTAAATATATGCTTTATGTTTGCTTTGCAAATGGTTTTGTATGTGGCACTTCGTTGTATGTGGCAATTTGTTGAATGTGGCAATTGTTCCTTCGTAAAATGTTATTCTTTGTAAATTCGTAAATTCAATTCTTTTGAAACCTTTTCTTTGAAAGTTCTTTCAAAATTCTTTCAGATATATTCTTCAAAGAGATTCTCTCTTCAGTTTTCCTTTTTCTTTTTCTCTTTTTCTTTTTCTCTTTCTTTTTTACTTTTCCTTTTTCTTCTGAAATGAAATGAAATGTACCAATGAGGTGATGGTGAAACAAATGAGGGTGAGATGTATTAACAAACTCAATGAAAATAGAGATATGGATACATAAAATCAACTTCAACAGTCAGTCACCTAGAAGGAAAGAAAGAAAAAAAAGTCAATTATGTGGCTTATAATCAAGAAAATGATACTTACAAAAAAAAAATTCATGACAAAATTGTAGGTTCAAATGAAGTTCATACTATTGATAACATTAACTGTTATTATTTGCTTAACAAGTATACTTCTTTATTTGGCCTACTCCAGCTGCACGAAGATGTCACTGCTGCATGAGAAGTTCTTCTCCCTTACTCAATATCTTCTAAACAATTCATTTTTCCAAGGTGTCCCGAAAGCTCAGACCACGAAAGCTAAGACCTAAGACCACGACATATCAGACCCACTCGAAATATCAGACCCCGCAAATTAAGACCCTCAACTAAGTATGCCAGGATTTCTAGACAATACCTTTACTTGAAAGCTAACGTCAATATAAAGAACTCACTAATCATAAAATAAACACCATTAAGAATCATCGATACCAGCTAGGCCCCTATTTGCAACGTTTACTGGAGAAAACTAATACAGTACAAACAAACCGGCTATTCGCACTCCACGGAACCGTACGGTACGTTTTCGATAACGGTTTCTAATGCACATCTATCGTGCGAATACGATATCCGATATTATGGTTCTCGATCGTTCTCACTCCTATTTTTAGGATAGTTTGTTCTTTTTACATTCACCTTACCTTTCTTTACTTGCTTCTTTTTTGTTTTATAAATTCAGTTTCAAAATATTACATAATAAAAAGATAAACATTACTAAAAGCATAGAACATGAAACCAGGACTAGTGGCGGATCCAGCGAAGGAGGTGGGGCAGTGGAATAAAAGGATAGCTCGATTATTTTCCACTTTACACCAACCATGGAGGGGCTAAGGTGGGCGTGGCAGCGAGAACCTCATATTGTTCCCTCACACCCCCCCCCCCCCGTCTGAAAATCCCCCCCCCCGTCTGAAAATCTCTGGATGTGCCCCAGAGGACTTCGACATGACGCTTGAGACCTTGTTTATTTGCACCTTATAAATCCACCTATTATTATTATTATCGAGAACGATCGAGAATCATAATACAGTATATATCAGATATTCGCATGATGTGCATTAGAAACCGCTATCGAAACCATACAGTTCCGTGGAGTAGCTTAACAACGGTTTATTTGTACTGTATTTGTATTTGTAAACGTCGCAAATAGGGGCCTAGTTGGTACATGGAGTTATTATTATCAAAATAATTGTAACTCCATGGCTGGTATTGATAATACTTACTGGTGTTTATTTCATGATTAGTCAGTTCTATATACAGGTATTGATGTTAGCTTTCGAATAAAAGTATTATTGTCTAGAAATCCTGGCATAATTAGTTGAGGGTCTTAATTTGCGGGGTCTGATATTTCGAGTAGGTCTGATATCTCGTGGTCTTAGGTCTTAGCTTTCGTGGTCTGAGCTTTCGGGACACCCCATTTTTCCACCCTTTTTTACAAGGTTCTTTTTAAACTTTTTCTAAAGTTCTTAGCTTTGTAATTCTTTATAACAAACTGCATACTAACTGAACATTTTCACGGCCTCTGTAAACTGTATTTTAGGGAATTATCCATCTAATTCTAATAATAAGAGACTAGAACATTCCAACAGTCTCTCTCTCAAACTCTGCGTGACCTGGTTATTCAGCCTTGTAAATAGTATATAGCTCAATGTTTTCACAGTGAATGGGAAAAAAAAAAAAACCTTACAAACAAATGTTTCTACCAACCCCCATACATAGCCTGAAATGTTGCGAGTTCGAATTGTGTAGAAGAGAGGCCCAGAAAGATAGCAGTTCGTTAAAATAGTCCGAAGCCTCAGTTACAGTCCTCTAGCCTAGAGCCTGGCCTAGGTCGCCTAGGCTAAGCCAGATAGGGTGCCTCTTTCTTAGGCCTAAACAGTCTGAAGTTTCGCCCTTCATTCATGCTCTACTCAAAAGTTATCCTAGTAATATAGAGTGGACTAAATTTTTTTACTCACAATGGACGGAATACCCTCTGAATTTCACTGAAAGCAACTTTTTAAAATAGTACTGTATATGACCAAACCAACAGCAATGGAAGAACTTGCGTTGTAAAAACGTATTTAGGTATGGAACGCCAAAAGGATAAACCAGAAATGGCACAGTGCAAAACAGACAGCAGTGCAAAACAGTCACGCGCACAGCACATACGGAAATTAGAAATTACGTTTTTCCACATGATTTCTCTTCTGTACTGTAATTGACAAACTCAATCAAACATATCAACAATGATTCATTGTGCGCGATTTTGTCGACATACACTAAAAATTAGCCAAAATCATGCCTTTCATCAGTTATGGCTTCTTAGTATGAGGTGAACACCCCCCCCCCCCATTTTTATTACATATTATGAAGACACGTGAGTTTTAAATATGATTTTATAGATCATTATTGCTAATCAGACATTGTGACGTCATCATATTGGCGTCTAAATTGTAATTACTGAATTTTCATCTATGATAAATATTATGAATGATAACTAGATCTGAACTCGTCACTGAGACGAGTTCAAGTGATCTGCAGATACAGCATTGAAAACTTGAACGCAGTCATCTTGAAATAGAAAATAACCGACATTTTTTCAAAAGCGTAATGATTCTTTTCTGCAGATCAGCAGTGACGAGTTACATACAGTTTATATATTGCTTATGGACGTTATATGGCGCTAGACTAAAGAAAATGTAAAGAGTTCAAAATGAACTGAGAAGGTTTAGCCGATTATAAATAATAAGCATGATATTGATTATTTTCACTGAAAATGAAGATGCGCAAATTTATTCATACCTTCAGTGCATGCGTACGGCTCTGTTATTAGTTGTACAATTACTATAAATTAATGTAATCATTTCATTTTACTGTGTAAGGAAGTCGTAATATGTTAAATTTATGAACATAAAATTGAAATGATGTTGAGAAATTCAGGTATTGCTACAACAGACAATATGGATCGCTAATTTTTTATTACGATAATACCGCCAATATTAAAGCACTTTTTATATATTTATTCAGACTAAGAATCAACTATAATCCATGATGTGCATGATACATACTGTTATTTATTCATTGAATATTAGTAAAAATTAACCTTTGGAACAACTTCAAAACGAGTATTAATACCATATAATACAGTATAAACAATTGTATTATATTAAGTTTTATTCAACACTCATAACAAATCCAAACAGATCATGTTGCACTTAAATTCTAAATGAAACCACAGTGCTCCAAGCACTTCTAACAGTTTGAAAAAGTAGTATCAAAAACACTAATATTTGCAACCAATCCTGATGATACTACATAACTGACTTCCACTGGTAAAGCAATATCAAAATTAAATTTAACATCTTTAGGAACATATATCGAATCTCCTGACATGATACATACTGTTATTTATTCATTGAATAAAATAAAAATTACCCCTAGGAACAACTTCAAAACCAGTATTAATACCATATAATACAGTATGAACACCATAAATACAGTATGAACAATTGTATTATATTAAGTTTTATTCAACACTCATAACAAAACCAAACAGATCATGTCACACTTAAATTCTAAATGAAACCACAGTGCTCTAAGCGCTTCTAACAGTTTTAAAAAGTAGTATCAAAAACACTAATATTCGCAACCAATCCTGATGATACTACATAACTGACTTCCACTGGTAAAGCAATATCAAAATTAAATTTGACATCTTCAGCAACATATATCGAATCTCCTGACATAATACATACTGTTATTTATTCATTGAATAAAATAAAAATTACCCTTAGGAACAACTTCAAAACCAGTATTAATACCATATAATACAGTATGAACAATTGTATCTGAAAATGTAAAGAGTTCAAAGTGAACTGAGAAGGTTTAGCCGATTATAAATAATAAGCATGATATTGATTATTTTCACTGAAAATGAAGATGCGCAAATTTATTCATACCTTCAGTGCATGCGTACGGCTCTGTTATTAGTTGTACAATTACTATAAATTAATGTAATCATTTCATTTTACTGTGTAAGGAAGTCGTAATATGTTAAATTTATGAACATAAATTTGAAATGATGTTGAGAAATTCAGGTATTGCTACAACAGACAATATGGATCGCTAATTTTTTATTACGATAATACCGACAATATTAAAGCACTTTTTATATATTTATTCAGACTGAGAATCAACTATAATCCATGATGTGCATGATACACACTGTTATTTATTCATTGAATAAAATAAAAATTAACCTTTGGAACAACTTCAAAACCAGTATTAATACCATATAATACAGTATGAACAATTGTATTATATTAAGTTTTATTCAACACTCATAACAAAACCAAACAGATCATGTTGCACTTAAATTCTAAATGAAACCACAGTTCTCCAAGCGCTTCTAACAGTTTTAAAAAGTAGTATCAAAAACACTAATATTCGCAACCAATCCTGATGATACTACATAACTGACTTCCACTGGTAAAGCAATATCAAAATTAAATTTGACATCTTCAGCAACATATATCGAATCTCCTGACATGATACATACTGTTATTTATTCATTGAATAAAATAAAAATTACCCTTAGGAACAACTTCAAAACCAGTATTAATACCATATAATACAGTATGAACAATTGTATTATATTAAGTTTTATTCAACACTCATAACAAAACCAAACAGATCATGTCGCACTTAAATTCTAAATGAAACCACAGTGCTCTAAGCGCTTCTAACAGTTTTAAAAAGTAGAATCAAAAACACTAATATTCGCAACCAATCCTGATGATACTACATAACTGACTTCCACTGGTAAAGCAATATCAAAATTAAATTTGACATCTTCAGCAACATATATCGAATCTCCTGACATAATACATACTGTTATTTATTCATTGAATAAAATAAAAATTAACCTTTGGAAAAACTTCAAAACCAGTATTAATACCATATAATACAGTATGAACAATTGTATTATATTAAGTTTTATTCAACACTCATAACAAAACCAAACAGATCATGTCGCACTTAAATTCTAAATGAAACCACAGTGCTCCAAGCGCTTCTAACAGTTTTAAAAAGTAGCATCAAAAACACAAATATTCGCAACCAATCCTGATGATTCTACATAACTGACTTCCACTGGTAAAGCAATATCAAAATTAAAGTTGACATTTTCAGGAACATATATTGAATCTCCTGACTCCAGTATCATTTCAACAGGAAACCTTAAAAGAAATGAAACAAAAACAGTTTAAATATTATGCATACCTAACAAAATATATAAATCAATACACATAATCCACTCAAGTAAACAAACTATACTGTATTGGTATTATTACCTTTTGGTTTATTCAAACATTTTTATTAAAACAATAACACATACAACAATGAAAAGATTAAAATAATGAAAATTCTCCATCTCACACTGAAGAACATTTTTGAAATACCACACCTTTAAAAGGTACACCTTATACATAATATCTATGACAACTGTTCTGTATACTGTACTTCCCATTTTTGACATTAAACCCTTTAATCTGCCACTGTAAATCACATTACAATCCCAACTCTTTCATTTTTTTAAAATGATTTTTTTTGCATGTATACTGTAATTCACGCACCCACTTTCATCGTCAATAGCAATTATAACTCCCTTCTTTTCATCGCCTTCTGATGTAGAACACTGTAAAATATAATAATTTTAGACCGATCAGTTTAGAAACTGAAACACACAATTTAGTTCTATGACAAATAACAACTCTACTGCATTAAACATTTATTACAAATAATAAAAGAAAAAAACATAAATCATCAATGCACAGCATTAAATTTCATGATGATTTTTCTTTATTGCAAAATATGCCATCAGTTACCTACTGCAAAATATGTTTACTAACTACACTAATCATTAATAATAAGTTGTATGAATTTAAATTGAATTCAAATTTGTAATTCTTATTTTATACCCCACTATCAATAAAAATTGAGACTTTTCTAGCACTTCAAAACTATATGCGCAATATATGTGTACAGCACCAGTACAACTACCACTACATTTTAAAAGCTTACCAAAATACTACTGCTACAACTCTGAAACTTACCACACAACTTTTGAACACTTGAAAAATTTCAACTACAATATATAAAATTAGAATATATATTTATGTATAATAATAAAAAAATCATATCAAGTTCAAACCTACTTCGATAACACTTGAAAGAGTACTACTCAGCCTATCTTCATCTTTCACTAATGCTGTAATGGTCACCTTATCACCGGACTCAATTAACCTGGACTCACACGCTGCTTCCCCCCACAATACTACATCAACATTGGTGCCATCTTCCTCCAACTTCAGACTGCGTCTTTTACACGATGGACTTTCTACGTAATCTCCAATCTACATGAAAACAGGAAAATAATTGAAAACCATAAATCAGATTCATCAAACCTCAAATTGCATTTTATTCATGTGTGTTACACAATACAACAAAAACAACTGCTGACAATACCAACACCTAAACCAATCAACACTGTTCATTAGGTGTACATCAAACAAACCACAACCAAACCACAAAATATATGTTTACAGTCATTGTCAAAGTATTAAAAAACAAATTATTTTAAAACCACAGCTGATACCTAAAAACCAAAATAAACATTACAAGTCAACTTTAATGCACGCCCATAAACAACCCTATAAGTGTTCTTAAAAGCATTCCTGTATTGCGTCCACAAAAATATCATTATAACATCCATCAAATGATATATGAACAAAAGTTTGTATTAGACTGATAAAAACACAAACATAAAAAATAACTATATTGTACATTGTACAAATACTACTGTTTCCAACATAGATAACACAAAAAATAAGTTAATACACAAGAATCACCTCTACAACATCACCGCAAACACTTAATCTCCTTTTCAAGGGTGACCCTTTTGCTTCTGCAACCGAGACAACATTTGGTTTTATAAAAGCTTCTACGGCTTCCATGTCAACTGGAAAGTCACACACCTTTGTAATTACCTGAAAACAAAAAATATGTAATCATGATTATTAAACTTTTATCAAATATTTTGTGATTACCTGCTAATTTCTCTTCACTGTACTAGTAAATCATATTGAATAATTATTGACTATTTTCTTTATTTTCATATTTCTTCCACATGGGTACTAATAAAAATTAAAATTACATGCTTAGATTGAAATTTTATATACAAATAAAATCATTTTTTTATTTTGTATATATTAATTTTACCTATATATGCCTTATAATAAATTAATTTATATAAACAATTCTCAACCCAAATAAAGTTTTTTTTATATTTTCTATATGAACAAATGCACACATTTATTAAATACTACTATAAAAAATATACATATTCTGTAAATCATATCTAATAATAATTGCTTTTCTCTTTTGAGCATGTGTGTATGATGTGTAATTTACACTTAAAAATTATTTATCAGTCCTTGAGCTTTTAAATAACATTTCAGACTTCTAACAACTACTACTACTATTACAAATAATAATAATAATAGTAATATATATATATATATATATATATATATATATATATATATATTAAATGATAATTAGTGTATATCCTGTCTCTTATACACATCTAGATGTGTATAAGAGACAGGGCCTATATCATGCATAATATATTTAGGATGAAATGAAGACTTCATTAAAATAGATAAGAAATAATTACATATAACCCTATTAAATAATTCAATTGATGTATAACAAATTACAGAATTTACATTTAAGTCCTAATATTGCTATGATACAATTTCAATTTAACTACCTTAATGTTGTAATTTATATTAATTTTTCTTTTAAAAATTAATAAATACTAATATTTGCCAAATCGAACAACACACAGTAACCTACCACCAAACCACAAAATGAAAAAGAAAAAAATTACAAACTGCCAATAGGCTGCGCTCTTCCACACCGTCACACCAGCGAGCAGCTAAGCTGCTCCTTGGTCACACCACATGCAAAACAAAAACTTAATTTAAAACCGTTACGCGCATTCTAAATGCTGCGCAACCTGAGCAATCTATCCCAAAATTGTTTACTTCTTAAAATTAATATGACCGCCTTAATGCACTACCTCATAAAGAACGGCTACAGAATTTTATATAAAGACTCCACGTAAATCTTTTATAATAGAAACCGCACAAATCTAAGGTACTGTAAACCTTTTAGGTGCCTATGCTAAGTAACATAAAACTAAAATTTAATGTTAATGTAAATTAATTAAAAGCTCACAACACACAAACCCAAAAAAGATAGTAGTATTAATTTTGCTTTACCTTTGTCATTCCTGTAATTCTCAAGCAAGAAGGACTCCTGACTACATTAGTCAAAAGCACCCGCTTCCCAGCACCGATCGCGGTCACTTTCCTTGCACTGTCGGAACACATGTCATTTAAATAGCAGGGAACCACCTTCCTTTTCCCATCCCTGATCTTCCCACTGCTGCTACTTGCTCCCGCCGATTCTTTCTCCTCCTCTCCCTCACACACCATCCCAACTATAAACTTTTTTTCCGAATTCCTCATTTTTCTTTCTTCAAATTTTTCAACAATATAAATTTTGCAACCTGCCATCATGAAACCATCTATACACAACGCACGAGGATAAATACTGAATGCATCAGCAAAAAATGAACCTCAAAAGGTGGCGACCTACATTCCAATATCAAGTTTGCCAGATACTCAAGAACCTTCACGGCCAAACAAACGCCATCATACGGCGAAATTCGGCCAAACTTTTTTTCTTTCAAAATATCTGCCGAAATTCTGTCAAGTTAACAACATTAGCAAATATAACCCCTAATTCCACCAAATTATCATTGCATTGGGAGCTGCAACGATAAACTATTAACCGTAAATCAATCAAAAGCCTACTCAATATTTAGTTACCACTCTTTTTTCTCGCAATATAGTTTGGCCGTGCCTTTTTATTTTCTACTGCCAGCCCAATTTTAATAAGGCCAAATTTAAGAAATTTGACCGACATAACGGGCAATTTGACAACCCCGTCCACTATTATCTCATTCCCCCTCCCCCACCCTCGGAATTTAGAAATGAATTCTATTTTGCACCGTCTCCACTAAAAATTGTCTCTAAGTACATGGCTGGACGCAAACGGAAAATGTGACCCCCAATATTGATTACATATTCTGAGAGCACATGAGTTGTAGATACGATTTTATAGATCATAATGGCTGATCGGACATTGTGACGTCATCATATTGCCCTTTAAATTATGAAAAAAATCAATTATTATTTATGACGTTATTACCTTTTTTACTCGTTTGAACGTATCTCGCTTATCTTCATTGATTGTCTCCCACCTGTGAGTATATTATAGCTAAATCAATTCTCTTTCAGACATGTCCCTATAATTTTCTATTTCATCACGTCAGCATGGTCAGAAAGAACAATTTTTGGAGCCCTTTTATCTCTCATTCTGAAAAGATGTAAAGAAATTGAACAGATTGAGGGCGGCCGACTGTATTTCGACGCTATTAGACTGATAGGTTATATGAAGGGAAAATTCGTGTAACATTACCAACTAACAGGCGCTTTTAAAAACACTTGACAATGTTTAATTTCGTGTGCCATTACTATACACGCACACATCGTGACGTGCGCGTCTGTAAAAATTTGAAAATTCTCCATATCACTATTCAGATAGTTTAAAGAACGTTTCGGGTCATTTTCAGCATTCCAAAACTTTCCATATTTACGCGCCATACGTTCATTACCACGCACGCAACACGTACTGAAGCTGGAAATAACATTTTGTTACATACTTTGTGTTCCTGACACATTATCCATATCAGGAGTCACTCTTTGTGCTATTACCGTGCTCACGGGCGTAAAGACGTACGTGTACGCGTGCGTAAATCTTGTAAAAAAATTAAAATGCTCAAAAACTAATTACAGCATATTTTAACATATATAACACTTTTCAGTCAGCACCGCGTTAGCTTTATGAGGGTCAAAGTACGGCGGATCACCGAACTCGTCCTCAGTGACGAGTTCAAATCTAGTTGGTGATCCGCTACACTAGCGGATCACCTCTTGTTATTGTCAGGATCATCATCATCATCTTTTTGGTGATCCGCTACACTAGCGGATCACCTCCTGTTATTGTCAGGATCATCATCATCATCTTTTTTTTCTTATTCTTCTTTCTTTCTCCCCTTTTTTGTTCGCACGATATCTCAAAAAATGCCACGAGTCACCGCACAATCCATGTCAACGGACATTTGGCTTGGTCTGGAATAGTCATGGTAAGCTTTTCAACGCGCTCAGTCTTCGCGCGCAATTTTGCGTTCTTACATTATCGATCATATCAGCCTAACTAATTGCCATTTCGAAATCGTATTAAGTGGGCATTAACTTTGGGTTAATGTTGAATGTACAGTACCCTAATTTTACGCGTGCGCTTATTATCGCGCGCGCACGCGTGCGTTAAAATTTCAAAATGCTTAAAATCCATTTTTGACTAAATTAGAGCACGTTTTTGGCCATTTTGAGCATTTCAAATTATTTTGAAATTTTCCACTACGCGCGCGCATTTTTAAGTGCGCAGCACGTACGAAAGCTAGAAATTACGTTATTTTACACATTTCATTTTGGGTTCCTGACATTGTTTTCACAAATTTGCATTCTTTTCGGTTATCTTTTGGCCAATAGCAATGCCGTACGTGCGCATCAAACATAGGTATCTTTGTGCGTATTAGTGCCGCTATACACTGAAATTATGCTAAAATCAGATCTATTTTTAATCAGTTATAGCTCCTTAGGTTGAAAGGTGACCCCCAATTTTTATTACATATTCTG